TACAAGTGGGTAGTAGATAAGAAAAAAACCTGATATGCTTGTAAAATCCACAAATTAATCAATATATAAATGAAGGGATTGAACGTGTTTGATAGTTGAAGTAGTTGTACTTTTCACAAGTGCCAGTCGTTAGTGTTTGAGCAGAAGATCAGGATTCGTTTTTTTACGGATTATCAACCCTTTACAGGTTATTTAAAGCCAGGAAATAATTTTAGATTGTAAGAATTTTTAAGATAATAATGGTTTCGTGATAACAGTCTTACTAATTAACCCATAACTGGATGATTCCTACCTTTTTCAAGGTTACGTGTAAGGAAATATAACGAAACCAACTGGAATTGAAACTATTCTTCGACAAGCCATTATTCATTACACCCCCCACCACCGCATATCCAAGCTTACAGCCCCTGGTAGTCTCAAAATGTCACTCGTCTAGGTACTAACCAGACTCAACTTTGCTTAACTTTGGTGATTTAACCGGTGATTCAATTGTGGCCGTAAGCCGATTAGAAGATGAATACTGGTTATCGAAACAGGGAGGTCATTCCTATTTGAAGGACTGGCGTTAGACAGTTTATCTACACGCACTTGTCTTTGGTGCCATATTAAGTTAATGTTATCAAACCCTTTTTTTATGGTCGTAGAAAAAAAAGAAAAAAAAGAAAAAGAAACTTCAGTTAGCTCGAGAAGTAACTTCGAAAATGTCTTTAGAAGAGTTTTCTTTTTTTTTTTTTTAATCCTTCGTTATTTGCGGTTTTCTTCGGACTAATTTTGTTTCAGTCGTCTGTCCTAGGCCTCGGACCCTCGCTGGTCACACACTTTTGAAATCAAGACGATCTGTGCTGATATAAACAGCCGAAACCTGTCACATTTCTAAATAAGTGTTTTTTTTTTTTTTTTAATATACCAGGCATAAAATCGTGCCGCGGAGAAAATTCTAAGAAGCAGCTTTGTGCCTATAACTGAAGGAAACAATTTCATTATGCTGGCACTTCTACTTACGAACAATAAACATCCTTACATTGACTTTTCAAATCAATTCCTTCGCCTTTTATCACAATATTTTTTATTTGTCAGCGCCATTCGAAAGGCGACCGATTAGAGAATATTTTGACGCACACACAGGTTTCCTTAAAAACATCTGACATGGTACTGCGATTAAGTTTTTCATTTAATTTTTCTACTGTTCTTAGAAGTACCTTGTCAATAATCTTTAATGAAATTTGTATAAAAAAGGGATTGTTGCCCAAATACACACACACATATACGTTCAATTTATAGATACAAATATTTAAGTAAATGCTCTGTTTTTTAAAATAAACAGTATTAAAAACATTTACCGGCCTGAATTTTATTATAAAAAAAAACAGAGCATTTACTTAAATATTTGTATCTATGAAAAGAATGTATAAACATAAAAATGTTTTAAAATAATTGTCGGACTTTGTCCAACTCATAATGTCATTTGTTTACATTTGGATACGCTTTGAGTAGATATGGATGTACGTGAGAGAATCCTGGAAGATTGTAGTTTAAAGACAGTAAAATCGACCTTGCTAACCGAACGCTCCTTTGTGGCTAAATTGGTTAAAGGCACGTCAGGCTATATGACGGTTCTGTATAGGATACAGGTTTGATTCCTGTCGGAGGACGAAAATTTTTGGACATTCAGGCCGGTAAACGTTGTTTAATACTGTTTATTATAAACAGAGCAGTTACTTAAATATTTGTATCTATAAAAAGAATGTATAAACATAAAAAGGTCTTAAAATAATTGTCGGACTTTGTCCATTTCATTATATATATATATATAATCCTACCGTTCTTCCAAGAGCCAGTGTTGCTTAACTAGGTTGTTTTAAAGGTGTAAAAGGAAGAAGTGCACATTACGAAGATATGTAGGATAGATACTGACCCTAGACTTGAAAAGGTTAAGATCGTAGGGATTAGGGGACCATCTTTTTAGGGGTTTGTTCTACAAAATAGCAGTACTGGCGAAGAAGTTGTCTAACTGGAACTTCCTCTTTACTAATGGAATATGGAGGGAATGAGGATGAATTATTGGGTCCTAGCTGTGAAGCTTTCGGCTAGTAGAACTAAAGAATGTAGCTCGCCTGAACATCTATGAAAACAGCAATAAAGTAGCTGGGGGCTAGCAACATTTGGTCTGTGGAAAAGGGTTGGGGGTGTGGAAAATAATTCATCGCCCACAGGGTTGCATAAATAGTTTTCAACTCTGTCAGGGCTGGAAAGTGAAGATTGGAGCTTAGGCATGGTTGCGATACACCATTTGTGTGTGTGTGTGAGAGAGAGAGAGAGGGAAGAAGTAGACAGATATTTTCGAGAGGGGAACTGACCATTTTTCTAGCATCTTTAGCAATGGATCATATACACGAGTTATCTCCTTAGTGACTGACCTCTCTCTCTCTCATATATATATATATATATATATATATATATATATATATATATATATATATATATATATATATATACATAATAATTTCACTTTCAATGTCTTCTTTCCTTTTCATGCATACTAGTCTATTTTTTCTTACCGAGTTTTCTAAAAACACGTGAAAATATCGCCCCGTTGAAATTTATCCCATTTTCTGTCACTAACAATGGCGACCCATCGTTTACATGTGTAAACTTTGTTTGCCACTGCGTTTAGCCCAACTAGGTGGAGTACCGAAATAGCTTGTAGCTGTTATATCTGTATATAAAATTCTGTTAATTCCATTAATCTGTTCGACCGTCCATCACAACCTCTAAAATAGCCATACATTGACCGATCAAAACTAAATTTTTGGGGTCAAGTGCAAATAGGTAAGAGGGTACAAAATACAATTGGTTTTACTAGGGGGGTGTAGCTTAGCACAATAAATTTTCATTATTATTGTTTTTTTTAAATAATTTTTATTATTTGACATACAAAATACTCCCATTATTTTAAAAACAATTTAATGATTAAAATAACAAATTTTTTATTTAATGAAAAAGTATATTGTTTTTTGCATAACTTTTTAGGTTTTTATATTTCATCGATTGGTTTGCGAAATTATACGAAACGTCGACTTTGTAGATCTCTACAAAAATGTTAGCAATAACTTCAACAATACTAAATACTGTGAAGATTTTAACACGCGCTAGTATACTGCAAAAAAAAAAAAAAAAAAAAAAAAAAGCGCTAGTATACTGCAAAAGAAGAAGAAATTCTAATTTCTTAAATAACACGCTATGTTCCATCCGGGCATAGGCGATCATGGTTCTCCAGATTCATTTTCCTTTATTCTCTGTGAATTACCATCTCTTCTTGGGAAAGCCAGTGAAATGGTTTCCGTTCTTTTCTCCATGGTTTTGAATTCAGAAGTGTCCTTCTCCTAGACTGGTTGCCAATCAAGGTTAGAGAGCTCAGTCGCCCGTACTATTCAATCCATTACCGAGAAATTCAAGTCATTACCAAAGGCATCAGCGCGAAGTAAACGCAAGTGACAAGGACTCTACGCAACTTGAACCCGGAAGATTTTTATTTGCTGCGCCAGATTTTAGATGGAAATTATTGGCAGTTTCATTTGTTATGACGCGTAGCAGACAAGATTTATGTTATTGCTTTAACTACACTATCCCAGAATTTAGCACGACTCACCGGTTCTTATTTAAAAGAATGCAAATAGGTTTTGAGGTACAATAATCCAACTGTATGTTACCATTTTAAGTGCGTAAAGAAACTAGTTTTAATAAGGTTACATGATTGTTTGGAAAAATTCTGGGGATAGATACTCCCAAGTTAAGCAATAAAGCCCACTGATTTTCTGAAAAATCGACGAAGCAAGCCACTGTTGCCTTATTATCACGTGAGAAGGAGTAAAAAAAGCCGTTTTTGTGACATGCAACTAATCATGAAAACAGTCAATCTATACACCTATCGACCGGTTCAAATTCCTTTTCGTCCTTTGAGCAGGAGTTTATGCAGTTTCCGGTTTAGAAGTGGGTTTCTGGTTCCTTCTAAAGCCTGCTCTTTCTCTTTCACTCCTGGTAGCCCTTTGCGTCTTAGTGGCATTATCTTTCATGGGAGGGAATTGATTAAAAAAAGCAAAAAAGAAAAAAGCTAACAATCAAAGAGAAATAGAAAATAGCTCAGAACCCATTACATCACTAAAGATCTAAACTCATTGATGCCAAATACCATTATAATTGATCTCACAGTGATATGATGTTATCACTACATACCTTTAAATGGTAGTATTACTGACACGTTGACTAATAAACAAACTGAATAATTTTTATGTTATTAGAGGTTAAAAAAGAGAGAAAAAAGAGAAAAAAAAAGATGTGTAAAGAATTTCAATCTTGTAGTAGTAGGCAAAGTTTAATAAATAAAATAAAAATAGTTCTTAAATTCCCTGAAAAGTAACATCTACTTATTTTCTTAACATCTCACATCAGCATTCTTAAGGACATGTCCAGAAACTAGATACTTGGATAAGCAAAACAAAAAGATCAAAAGACCCTGTACCAAAGCGAAGGACAATGTTACATGCACTCATCACACTCACAGATCTCAATATTAACCCAGGAAAAAAAGAAAAAAATTCCAGGTCAGTTCTCTCTACCTTTTCTCCAGTAAGCGGGACGTGCTGGTCCACTCTACTAACCACCAAATACCTAATCAGGACAACTGCCTACTACAAAGTAGGAGGAGTCTCGCTCTCTGTTTATAAACTGCCTTACAAGAAGAATGGTTTCTTTTGTTTAGCGGCATATCAACCTCTATAGGTTATTTAATGCCAAAATCTAAATATTTTGTATGTAATTTCATTTTTATAGATAATAATGGTTTAGCGATGAAAGTCTTACTAATTAACCCATAGTTGGGGAGAAGACGTGGATTCATATCTTTCCCAATCGTACTTGCGCATTAAGTGAATATAAATAACCCAACGGGAATTAGAACTCGGCTCTCCGATTAACAATTCCGAGCCATTACGCAGCCCAAGTTTACAGCACCCGGTATTCCCAAGCGATCACCCATCTAGCTACTGACCAGGCTCGATGTTGCTTAACTTCGATGACCATACGGGAACCGATGTTTCAACGTGATGTGGGCGTAAGCCTCACAAGAAGGATATAAGCTTATATTTGTATACAAAAGAAAATAAACCTACCAAAACAACGTATTCATTTTGAATGTAAAAAAAGAAAAGAAAAAGAATTGCGCCAATCTATCCACTTGTGACCCCTGACCTAATACGGAAATCCCGGTGTGATAAGAAATTATTGTTACAGAGAAATATATTTTCAAGAGCACGGCGTGATATAGAACCTAGGGCGTGATTTGGAATTTTTGACACAGAATTTTTTTTCACCTACAGCACAGCAAAGCAAAAAATACGGCAATCAACTGTCACAAATTGAAGTTACTCCAACCTTCTTAAAATTAAAAAATCTTTAGTTAGAGTTTTGACACAAGGAAACGGTTTAGATTTTAAATGGGATGGTCAGTGGAAGTGTCGTAAATCACTAAATATCGGTTTAGGGCATCACGTGACAGTCGGCATCGTCTTCGGTTGCAGTTAAAAGAAAAATGGCGGAGTATATGCATCTTTGTTTAATTCATATACATCTTATTTTTCTTGCTTTCCTAAATGTCCGAAACACGCAAAACTTGACACATTTAAAAAGGTGTGTCGTCGTGCGAAGAAAACATTTTTTGGGTGGGTGAAGGTAGTACTTTAAATGCTCTCCACAAATTCCTATTCATTAGGATCGATTAATTGTTATGACTTCTTGAGAAAGATAGAGGAATAGGCGTTCCAGTCCCCTCTTCGTGGTTTTGCATTTATAGTTGTACTTCCCTTAGACTGGCTGCCACTCAAGGCTAGACAGCTCAATATACCCTGTTATTTAACCTATAGCGGAAGAGCGGAGAAGACAAGATTGATATATACCTTTCCCAAGAGCAACAGTGTGAAAGTGAATGCTACAGATCAGGATTTGAACTCGGCTCGTTATTTTTAGACTTCCATTATTGAACAAGTCCACGAGACTGCATGTAAATTTGTAGCGGCATGTTATCAGTTGTGGGTAGGGAATTATAAAACGCCACCACCTAACTTGTGACAGACAAAAACTCCTCCTACTGCTAACAGATATATATTTCACTGTAGGTATGTGTGTTTTGTATATTTGGGCAACAATCTTATTTTATACATGTTTCATTATATGTAGAGCTGGACACTCGTATTCAAAGACACCAGCATTACTAGGGCGTCTAGTCAATCCCTATTGCAGACGCTTGCTCAGACGCATCTGTGCTTATTCAACACCCACAGAGCCAACCTGTGTTTATACTGCAACTATGCTGAGCAGACCTTAGTTACAGCTTCTGGGAAAAAGCGTATTATCTAGCGTGATCAACAATTTGAACAAGGTCAGCAGGTTCAAGCCCTCGGCCACGATGACCTGTGACTTCGTGCTAGCACAGCTATCGACAGCTCTTAAGGGTTCCGTCTACCTAATTTACTCGCAGGTTTGGGTCATTGTAACGGAAAAAGAAAATGTAAGTTTTTTTTTTTTTAATTCAGTTTTTCTAATATGCTTACAATTTTTCTTTTAAAGGAAGTATAAGAACATTAGAAAAAGTGAATAAAAAAAATAGAAGTATTCTTTGGCTGTCCCATTTAATGGAACATGTATGCATATATGTGTGCATTTAAGTAAATTATTAAATTAACGTTAATTAATTCACATAAAATGTCCATGAGAATAACTATCTTTAAGTTTAATTTTGCTGTCGACAGACATCAATTAGTTATCGTGAGATCTTAGTAATGTGTTGACAGAAATGAAAATGCTATCAAAAATAGTCTTAAACATTAGTTCTTTTCTTTAAACTAATTCCATGCAATCATTTCTCTTTAGTGCAATAGAGAAATACTGTTGCAAAGTTGGAATCCCCGGAAACAAGGTTTCTCTTGTCTCGCCGTTTTACTGTCGAACTAGCTAGATGCAATTTTATGGTCTATTTTCTAGTTTCTTTTCTCGCACTTTTCGCCTGTGGAACTGTCTTCCGATTTCTTGCTTCCCTGCACCCTACAATCTCCCAAAATTTAAATGTAACGCCAATCAACATCTTTTGTCTCCCATAATCCTGTTCTTTTATTGTCCTATCACCCCACTAAAGTCTTTTTATTCTCTTTCAATCTCAGTTAAACCCTACGTCTTAGTGGCATTATCGCCTTGATTGGGGTAAAACGATTAAAAAAAAAGAAAAAAATGCGAAGCCACTAACTGCCCTAAAGCAGAAAAACTACCGAGGAGATGAACAGGTACTATACTTTGATCTCAGGCCGGATGGGTGTTAGGCAGAACTGCCGATCCAGATCGAAACTACCGTCAGTTTTGAAGAGCGCTAAACCAGCAGTAACACCAAAACTAATAAAATTTAAATTCTAAAATTTTGGCTTACTCATACGGAAAATATGCAAGTTTATTGGGTTTCATATAAATTTAGTGCAACCTATAAGTTAAACGTTTTATTTTTAGTAATTAAAAAAACAAAAAAATAAAACAATACATAAGCCCCCATCCATGGTCCATATTTACAAATGATATAAACATTTACGCAGAAAAATACTGGCTTTTTAAACAATGGTGCAAATCAAATACTGTGGTCCGGGTGGTAATGTGTGATGTCACGGAAAATCGTTCCCTGCACTTGCCTTTTGCTATAATGGAAAAAAGGCCAAACGAACCCACTGGGTGTGTACAGATTTGATTGATGTTGTTGGAAAACTGATAATGAATTGTAAATTTTATATCCATCTTTATACCGTATTTATTAAATTTAGACCTTTAAGTATTGGTACCAAATAACCAATAATGTCATCCCAAATTTCAAGGAACTGGTTATACAAAGGCAGGTAATCTTTAGGAACCTATTCTGATTATTTTCTTTTCAATCTGAGAATAGAAACAAATCACTTTATTGTATCAAAAAGAATTAAACCATTTTGATAATTTAATAGAAAACATTTATTTATTAAGATATTTCCAGATTGAAATTCTTTTCTCATATTTCTATTCAGAAGTATAATGCTTTTTGACTCTAGTGTCATCTGCTGTATTATGGTTCCTTAACCACATTGGAACTGAATCACTGCAGTCCCAAAGATCCGATGAAAGACCTATCAAATTTATGACTTGAAGATTTGCTACATTTTTTACTTGAAGATTATCTCTTGTCAGAGTAAATTATTTTCATCACAGAAACCCTTTCAGCCTCCACAGAACTTACAGCAATGGTATTATAGTGTAACCCGGATATAAGAGAGTTGTCGGAACCGGAGACTAAGTCTCTTATATCCGGGTTTGGTCTAATTTATATACATTAACACAGGCTCTAATTTGGGACCAGAGAAAATCTCTTATATCCGGGTCTCTTATATCCGGGTTACACTGTAATTATATTTTTAGCTATTATATATCGGCTATTAATATACAAGATTATTGTCGGATAATCCAACACCTAGTTCGCTAAGCTTTTATAATTTTAAGAATCCATTCGCGCAAACCAGTAGGATGCCACCAATGCATATAACCCAGTACTATCCACCTCAGGTCATCGGCGACTAACCCCGTAAAGAAGTCACCCCTCCCAGACTTCTTTGTTGAGATTGGTGGCTAGACATGTATCAGCATGATAAACAACTGGCGGATGAACCTTCTTGTAGTGCCACAGCCATCAAGCACATGGGGATGGATTGGGATGTTTATGCTACGCGTGCAGCGATAACTGGACAGGAGAAAGTCAACAGCCAACACCCCCCGCAACCGTTGCCCGGTGGAACCAACGGCCACGTGTACGAGATCAACGTGGGCTTTGATTGGTTGCGAAGAGGGATGGGCTCCGCCAGATCTACTTGCCCAAGATACACTATCTCCGGCTTTCAATGTGGAGGCAACTGGTCACGTGCTCAGTGACCCTATGACCATGATGTTACCGTTCAGGAATCAGTAACAATATTGCGTGTTGATTAAAATAACGTATTTTTAAAATCAGAATAGCAAACCTAAGCGGTTGTAAATTCTTCACATGATTCTGTGACGTCACACACATTTCAACACTAATCATAATATTTGACTTGAACCGACAAAATTGGTAGACATGTTTTTTTTTTACTGTCTCTTAAGTTCTAAGATTAAGCGATTTTTTTAGGGATTCAAAATCTTTTTTTCTTGGTTGTTTATTGTTTAGTTTACAAATTTTTCGGTCGATGTTTTAATTTCTTCCTTTGGCTTTCCTCATAACAGGACGACACAAAATAAAAATGGTCTGTGTGTGGGTGGGGATAAATCAGATGTTAAAAGTGGTAGTGCTAAAAATCGGCTATTAAGTTTTAAAGATTTCTGATTCTATTTTTTTTTTTTTTATCTGATCCTCTCCGAAGAACTTTTTTTATTAGCATTGTAACCATTTTTTTTTTGTTTTGATTTGAAATTACTTTTTGCATTGAGATTTTTTATGCATAAAAGTTTATACTAATGTAAAAAAAAAAAAAAAAAAGAAAAAAAAGTGGGCAGTAATGAGGAAAAAAGACGGAAAATGGAGTTTTTCTTATTTATTTTGAAAAAAAAAAAAAAAAAAAAAATAATGGCTGTAATGATTTTAGATAAATGCTACAGCAAATCTTACAAGCTTTGTCATAGACTGAGGCCAAGTGAAATTTAGCCTTTTTCATTTCGTTTTTGGAAAAAAAAAAAAAAAAAAAAATTGGTAGTGCTGTGTATGATCCGGGAATTTTCGGATGAATTCGTATAATTCTTTTTCATCTGTTAGCCAGATGAACCCTAACCCATACGTCCTCGTTTGAGAGATCTGTTCTGGTTATATAAGCTATCTGTATTCGTTTATATCATTATTCAAAATTTAAAGTATATTGTTGGTCAGAAAACATAAAAAAAAATTTAAAAAAAATTGAAAAATGCCTTGGTTTGAGGTTTGGAAATTATACTGCGACTATTTTTAGCTCGACTATGCAGGCTAGACAAAGAACCACGGGACTGAGTGCTAAGGTTTCCTATTTAAAACAATAGTAGAACAAGAAACTTAAAGACCACAAAAACAAATAAAAATAAAGAGCTACACATTTTTATGCGTTTAAACGAGATATTAAAATTTTGGGATTTTAAAAAATTATGCACTAAGCTATGCAATGAAAGGAAAAGTCAATATATCTGTAGCTTGATGATGAAAACAGATTTTATTTTCATAAGAAATAGTTTTCAGCATAATCCCCTTCCTTGTCAATGCACATTAATCTCAATGCTTCTACATAAATTACGTTATATAATAAAACATTGAGATAAAAAAATCAGCTAATAAATGTGTCAGGCTACGAACTTATTGATTCAAATTTTTAAAACTAATTTTAGAAGTGAATAACTTTAACGGAAATGTACTGGCGGTTAAAAGAAGGTGTAAGGAAACAGGGGTAGGAGGGAAGAAGAGAAAAGAGAACAAAAAAAAAGGGAAGAAGAGAAAAGAGAACAAAAAAAAAAGGGAAGAAGAGAAAAGAGAACAAAAAAAAAAGGGAAGAAGAAAAGAGAAAAGAAAAGAGAAAAAAAAAAAAAAAAAAGGAACAAAAAAGAAAGAAAAAAAAAAAAAAAAGAGAAAGAACAAAAAAAAAAGGAAGAAGAGAAAAGAGAACAAAAAAAAGGAAGAAGAGAAAAGAGAACAAAAAAGGAAGAGAAAGAACAAAAAAAAAAAAAAGAGAGAAAAAAAAGGAAGAGAACAAAAAAAAAAAAAAGAAAGAGAACAAAAAAGGAAGAAAACAAAGAAAAGAGAAAAAAAAAATTGAAAGAAAAAACAAGAAAAAAAGAAGAGAGAAGAAAAGAAATGAGAACGATTTAAAGAAAGTAAAAAAAGAAATGGTCTTTGTTTGTAGCTCTATTTGGAATATTTGCCGAAATGAGAACGGCAGAGAAAGTACGAACTCATTTGAAATATGCAACTAACGGACGAAATAATACAAACTTATTTGTCAATTTATTTTTTTTTATCAAATTAATTAATATGACTCATTAGTCAGTAATAATAAAGTCTCCACAGGAAAAGATAAGACTTTTTTTTTTTTTTTAAAGTCTTTTGTTTGCGTTCCAACAGCAGGAACTTAAAAAGAAAAGCTTTATTCAGTTGCATAAAAAAAAAAAAAAAAAAAAAGAATATGGATTTTTTTTTTTAATCGGTAAAAATCGAATTATTCTCTCTGTTTGCAAATCGAACCATTCTAATTTTTTGTATATGAAACGTAAATTATATATATCTACCTTCAGTAATTCATTCATGACAGCAGCGGAGTAAGGTCCAACTTAATTTCTCTTGTTTCTTTGAGAGAAAGTGACTGTTGTTCAGTGATGAATGATGAAAACGAATTATAGTCACTTGTCTTTAGTGTGAAAAAAGAAAAAGGTTAAAAGTAAAACTGACTTGATTACCGTACACATTTTTTCCACATTTCTTTTTTTCTCTTACACTGTGTATAATTTTGACATTGACTGTTAATCTCAGCCATACCTCTTTTTTAGTACACAGATACCAACCGCAGACATCAGGAAATATTCAATAAAAACCGACTGGAAAATAAATTTCCACGGTATTAAACTTAATCTCGATTTGAAACTAGAAATAAATTAATGTGAAGAATATACAACACATATGCATGCAGATATAAAAAATAGACAATATAAAAAAAAAAAAAAAAAAAAATTAAACTTTTTTTTTAAACTAAAAATATGGTCAATAAGAAGAATATATAAAAATTGTTTCTGGATAATTCTGAAATTAGAAAAGAAAAGGAAACACACACATATATATATATATATATATATATATATATATATAGATATATATATATATTAAACTCACCGGCTCGGACCAACTGTTCGTTGCATAGCATTCCTGTTTGTCTTGAGCGTCTGAGTCTGGGGGAACCCCGTCCAGGAAATGACTTCCTTGTGACGTCACGAGGCAGGAGATGACGTCAGTCGATGAGAAGCTGTTGTTTCGCGGTCACTTCCAGATTCACCCACTCAACTTGACCTTCGACGATAACGTTAAGTCGTCACACGGGTTCCAGCTGTTGACCCGTTGGGAGGGAGGCAGTAAAATGCGGAAGATATGAAAGAAACCCAAATCTGTTGTCGGTAAAGAATTTGGAGTGATTTTTTTCTTTTTTTTTTAATATTTTTTTTGGCTTTTAAATGCCGTGTTATTATGGTAGTTACTTGTGAGCGTTTGGTCTTATCAAATTTTTTCTGTTTTTTTTTTTTTTTGTTTTTGCTGGAAAAAACATAATAGACGGTAATCCGGCTGATAGATATATTGTTGAATCAATACGATCCTTAAAATAAATTCGATTAAACAGCTGAGCGTCCTGAATTGGTTGACAATGTTAGCGTCACTTAAAAATTTGACGGGTCGATCAACTGTCTGATTGAAAAACAATTCAAAACGGGTGTGACGATGAATGAGAAGAGATAGGAATGAAAGAGTAAAGGTTAACGGTTAAAAAAGAAAAGACATTATTCATAGCGACGACCGAAGAGAAGTAACGAGACAGGAGTAGGAAAAAAAAAAAAAAAAAAAAAACACGAAAGAGATTTTTAAATATATTCAAGAACAACAGAAATGAAAGAAAAATTAAAAAAAAAAAAGAAAGAATGTTGTGGATAGGAAGAAGATTGTGAAGAAAAGAATTAAAAATGACAAAAAAAAAAAAAAAAAAGCACGTCGACACAAGAGAAAAAAAAAAGATTAGTTGGTTCGAAAGAAGAAAAAAATCGATAAAAAAAAAAATGAAAAGAATAATAACTTAAAAGAATGATCGAGAAAGAACAAAGAAAGAGAAAGAATGAGAACTTATGGAAAAGATAAAAGGACGGAGGAAAGCGAGAGATAATGTGAAAGAAAGAAGAAACCTTAATTATACCCGAGAAAGAGAGAAAAAAATACGACAAAAACCAGAGAGCCCAAAAAAAGAACGACGTACATACGACATCGGGATGGGGGAAGAAACACATTTTTACGAGACGGTGGACGACTAACTTATAACAGAATAAAAAGATGATAAATTAAAACAAGTAAAAAAAAAAAAAAAAAAGAGAGAGAGAAGAGTTATAAGATAAAAACAAAAGACATTCGAAACGAGAGAGAGAGAGAGAGAGATAGCAACCGAGACGTCGACAGTGGCAAGGCTTACTGACATCTGGGACTGACTGCCGAGCAACGGTAGGTATCGAGTTGGTTATTAGTGACCGTGAGTCATTGTTCATCAAGTGGTGAGTCAGCCTCACGTGCGTCGAGGCAGAGCGGCGCACACGCAGGGAAGAGGCGGCGGCTCATCTGTTGAAACAACACTGATTCTGTCTTTTCAATGTTGACCGGATCGTCGACGTCGGTTTGTGTAAGTTCTAAGGTCTAGTCTCGGACAAGTTCTCGTCTTTCACAAAGCCACGCCCGGCCAGAATAATTACATTCGTGTATCGGTAAAACCTACAATATCCTTGGGGTGGGGGGAATAATAGGCATACTTCCACCAACGGATAACTGACAGAAGTAGCATGTCTGAAGCGCGTGCTGCACACGGACTTTGTTTATCTTCTTGGATTGCTTGCTGGTCGAGAAAGTTGTGTATTTTTCAGTACCGCGAGTGAGAGAATTTTGATTTTTGAATCCGACTAAAAAAAAAAAATAATTAGTGAAGTTGTGCAATTAACACTGAAATAATAATCATTTCTCTTTTTTTTTTATTACTACAACACTCCGGATCACGAATAAAAAGAAAAAATAATGACATTTTATAAAAATTACGGAGTCCAAGGTTGTTATATTGTAAATTCATTATAAATTGTTCCCCCTCTGGTCAAAACAAAATATTTTAAATACCTCGTGATTTATATATATATATATATATATATATATATATAAGAAAATTAAATTCGTAAACACTAAACTGGAGTTCTTTTTCAATATTAATATCGACTAAGCAATCCATTACGAATTGCATTTTTTTTTGCTTTCTTAAGGGTATCAATGTACAGTTAATTTACATAACAAATTCAACCCCACCCATATTAAAGTTTATAAAATTTATTTTTTTTATATTAGTTGTATAGAGTGTTTTAGTCTCTATAGTAATATCGCCCGGTTCACACTCCTCTTCGGTCGTTTGAACAGGGGTAGATTGTTTATCCCTTGTTCTCTGTTTAAGATTAGGTTTCCGGTTCCTTCTAAGTCTTCTCATTCTCTTTCATTCACAGTAGCCCCCTTGCGTCTTAGTGGCATTATCGCCTTGCTTGGGGTGAATTGATTAAAAAAAACATATATAAAAAAATATCGAAAAAAATTTTTTTTTTCATTGCACTGCCTATTTTACAAGTCCTCCAGAGCTATAATTCTGATTGCAGAATTTTAAAAACAAGCCTCACTTCTTGAAAAATTGATACAACACAATCTTTTTTTTTTCATTTTATCTCACTTATAAATACATGTATAATTCATTTTTTGTATGTATTATATTTCACGTTATATAATGCACAATTAAAAAAAATAGCTTTAAAAATGACTACATCTTTTACATTGTGTTAGAGGTTACCGGTCATACAAGAAGACTTCGATCCTCACTGGGTGCTTTAAACTTTCGGCCTTGTGCCAAATCTAAGCTACGCTTAGAAAACCACCGTAGAAGAAGACTGGCACCTAAACTTACTTAATTAACTGAGACCGTCGCAAGACAAACTGAAAAAAAGAAAATGTTGAGCCAAGCTTAGCGCGTCATTTTGCCTTGAAAATCAGCATTAGAAATACTGGTTTTTATTTGGATTTGAACTCTGATCACAAGCGTTGTTGAAAATGACTAACGCAATAAACTTCGAGGGTCGGTCCAATATCGCGTTTCCTTTGTGAATGTACCCAAACATTCTCGCAATAGCGATGTTGCTACCGCTGCTGCAAACTATGAAAAATATGTAGTTTTCATCGCGCCCACGTCGCTACCGAAACTGACACAAGGTCGAAGTTTATAGTGTGTTTATCGACAAAAATTTGCACAAGCACCTCGGCACTTCCCCATTTGGAGACACTCCAGGCACCGGGCAATAAACCCAGCCCCCTCCCGAAGGAGAGGTACTGCCTGGATGGAAGCCCTCTCCCCATCCGGGCTTGGGCATAATATTTTTTGAACTCCCTCGCATAGGCATTCGCCTGTGTCAGATAACAGGTAACAAAAGAGTTATTAAACTTCATTGAGTCAGGCTCCAGGCCTTAGTAATATGGCACATGGTGAGGATCAAACTATTACATTAGTAACGTCAGCCTAACAAATGATACCAAATCGAAGTACCCACCAATAATAAAATTTCCACAACGTATGGCACAAGACCATAATAATGGAGAACCAGTTTGGGAGATGAGCTTTCTCTCTATATTCCCTTAGAATAAATACCGTTAAATAAAACAGTTGCAATATTGTTTAAGAAGCTCAGTTAGGTCTGGCACAAGGACAGAGTACTGAAACATAGTAAAAATCGAATCATTATATTTTCGAAGTGCTTTATGAGCCGAGCTTACTAACCATTGCACTACGGGAGGAACACAACAGTAATTACGATAAAAACAATAATAAAGCAAATAAATTCATTGATTTATTAATGGTTTTAAACAACAAAACCGCCATCAACAGCAACAACAATGATACCTAAAGGAAGCTGTGGAGAGCCATGATTACCAACATCCTAAAGAGACATGACATAAAACCACAAAAGGAGATAGATAGATAGAGACTTACCTTAAAAAATGAGTGACTCGCGAAAGAGTAATGTTTCGCGTTTTAAGGTGATAGCACTAATTCAATAGTTCAATCATCAATGAGTGCTCCACGAAGCCAGCCTTGTGCCAAACGTAGTTAATTCCAAAACATATCTACCTATTGGATAACCGGTTGTGGAGTAAATGTTGAAGGTGCTGGTCTTCACTGGGTGTACCACGAATCTATTCCCCGTGTAAAAGCGGGCC